TTTGACTAAAGCGTTCGTATTTTTTTCAACGGTCTAAAAAATTTTTATTTTTAGATGCACTCTCATTGAAATATTGATGTATTATGCAAGAGCAGAGAAGCGGAAAGTATAAAATTTTATACAGGCCAAACGGAAAATATTTTAGAAACTTGTTAATCAAAAACTGTTGATTCAAAATCCCCTTCCCCCTAAGGTTTCGATATCTCTTCTATCTATCGTATGGGTAGTTCATGAAACTGCATTCTACCCTGTTGCAAGTCCACCGAAGTGTAGCGTCGTAATCACAATGGCCGTTGCAATCTGTTACAATAAATGTCGGAGCCCACGAATCTTTCACATGCAATATTCTTGCGTTGTTCTTAAAAAGTGAGTCCTTCAGGATAAGAAAAGCCTCTAAAACTTATTCGCTTTATTACATAAGATTTATGTAAGATTTTTAGGTTTCCCACAATGCAGATCTGAATTGGACCGCCTCTCTCCAAGAGTCAAGAGCTGTCAAAATTCTCATTTATATCTAAAACCACATACATAAACTTATTGATTCGTCACATTTTATTGGAATTATGTGCATATATGTCACGAAATTCTGGTCTGACGTTGAGGAGTACGACGATGATGGAACTAGTTGGTTTTATGCAGCGAAAATGCTCTCATGGAAGATTCATACAGTTTTGCTTTTGGATTGCAGGACTAAAGTAAACATATATAACTAAGCTGGCGCAAGCAGTGTGACTGCGGACGAACTTACGATCCGAATAACTTTGAATTCTCAACCTCTCCACATTCTTGGAATTCAACCTAATATAAAAATTTACTTTAAATAGTCTATAAATATCAGTACATACCCAGAGCATTTACAGAGGGTTTTAAAATAGAAGAAAACGTAGGATCAGCCTGTATTTTCTGTAATGCCGAAAATTGAAAATTACCCTGGAAAGGACGTCTGTGCCCAGAAAATACAGTTTTTTAAGTGGAAATTTTAGATTTAAAATGGCAGTAGAAATTGCAGTTAATAATAAATGCACTCAGCTTACAATTCAATCAGATTTTCTTTCTTAGCTACATGCATTAGGGAATTATAAACAAGCTTCTCTAATGGCATCAGAAATCTTTGATCCCCTCCAAGAAAATAGCCAAAGATTTGCTCTTGTATGGCGTCACTAACTCATAGTATGCTCAAGACCAACTTCATCCCTAATCTGTTTGTGTCTTCATTTCTTCCATTCTATGAGTAAGTTACGTCATTTTTGGGAAGAGTCTAACCTTATTTGTCTACTCACCTTGCTCGAGATGCATATCTGTACATTACACGATTCCTCAAAAGGGACTTAAAATAATTGCCGAAATAACCGTTAATTTTGCCCATAACGTCAGATTTGTACCCACAAAAAGCATGCGAAAAAGTAACATGTGATGCTTGATAAAATTGCTAAGTAGCCATTGGTCAGTTCTGACTTATGAGAAGAAATAATCTATTATGAAAATGATATTTTTGTGCTCTGAAACGAAATTTACAAATGACATTCTCGTTGCCTACAACATTCGGGGAAATGGCGACCAAAGATACAGCAGAACATCTCGAGAATTAAGTTACATCTTTGTGAATTTCATCTTTTAACTTGTTAACTTGTTACTGTTTCTTGAATGTAAAGTAGCGAATGTGTCCTACTGTTGAGTATTGCTGGAGTTTAAGGTTCTTACCTTGTAACTATATAGCAGACATGAGAAACTGTTATTGCTTCATTACTTTTCCATCCCATTACACGTATTCAAAATAGATACAGTAGGTACACTGCTTCGTCTTTTTTTTTTTTTTTTTTTTTCATTCTGGAATTTATTCGAGGAAATAAGTGTTTAAGATTTACTTCGTAATTTTTAATATAGATATTTTGAGTTTTTATGTATTTTTGTCTTGTCGCGAAGTGAGAACTGAAATAATTGAATGAAAAATACTGAATGGTCTGCGAAAAATTGTTTTGTTTGTTTAATTTCTTTTATACATCGTTTTAGATTTATTACAGTATTTGAATAGTACATGTGGCAATCATTATATAATTCTTCAGTTGTATAAATTTTGTGCATTCTGAGTTATAAAATGAATGAAATGTAACGCTGGTAAATGAACCCAGCGCCAGAGTTCGTCAATTACATATTTCCAAAGAACACGAATATGATTGAGATTCGTCAATTATATGTTTCCAAAGAAGACGGAGACGTTTTAGTGGCGCCTTAACTTTGAACAGAACCGTTTCACAAGAAATTCAACATTTAATTTGCCCCCCCTCCTCTCCACGTCGCAAGTTCCGCTGGCTACAGTTAATCCCATGGAGGGATTTGGATTTATCATGAACACCATAAGAACTTCCATAAAGCCTGCAGTCACCTTCGATGGAAAAACCCTAGTATTAACTCACTTAAAAGCTGAATTCCCAATTCCCTTTTCCTACTGTATCCAGTGCCAGAGGCGCAAAAAGTTACAATCGTGGAGTTACAAAAGTTATCGAGAAGCATGTTTAGGACATGTTAAAAAGTAAAATTATAACACCAGTAAGCAGTCCTTATACGTACTTAGCCCTGTGGGGCTGTAAAAAAAGAAAATAATCTCGCACCTACTAACTACAATGCACCGCGTTTCGCCGTCGATTATAGAAAACTTAAATGTATAATTAAGTATACTGTCTTATCGTAATTAAGTATAATTGAAAAGATTATTCGGAAAATTAAATCAACCCGATTCATGACAACGTTGTATCTAACATCTAGCTATTTCTAAATTGGAGTGAATAGCTCGCGCGTATTTAAGTGAGGGGTTTGAGATTGCTTTAAACAGAGCGTGTTTCGCCTGCTGAATGCCACATTACTAATTATATTCTATGACAGCATTCCTATCTACGGCGTTCCTTTAATCTTGCAAATAGTGCTGTCACGACGGAGAACCAACTTAGGCATTTAATATTTCGGTGTAGCCTTTGGCTTACTAAAACTTAGCTTTAGTTTAAATTGAATTCCTTACTTTTGAGGCTATGCCATAACTGCTGGTTGGTTTTATAAGCACCAAGTGTGCCTTCAATTCAACTTCTTTGAGTTCTTAATAAAAGTATTTTTAATACTTTTCGTTACGTTTATGTTTGGTGAACTAGACGTAGCGATAAGTTGCTTAGTTCTATTTAGAATCTTGACTTACTGAGTGCTATCAAAACGAATGAGACTCTGCAAGATTGAGATCCTATTTAAGAGGATTTTCTACTTAATGCTTATTTTCCTCTTTGGAAAAACGTGTGTTAATTTCCTTAATAAATGTCATCTAATTGGGTAAATGTGCTGGGAAATTAATTCGCAGACCACGTGTTAAAATATTCAGATGGGTTATCAAATGGAAAGGTTGTAAATCGGGTATTATTTGAAATTACAGTATACTTTGATTTATATTTTAAACAAATAAAAACATTTTATTTTTAAATGTTGAACGAATTTTCAAAATAACACATCTGCACTAAAATCTACTTTTACGATATTCTATGAGAATTTTATGCTTTGAAATATCAAAAGATGAGCAATAAGTTAAATAAACCCTTTAATACTGTAAATTCTTCTTTTTTAATAGTCAAATCTTCGTAATAAAGAGGAGTTAATCTCTTACTTTGATAAAATATTGGTCCCTTTCCAACAATTTCTCTTTTCGCAATGACTTTAAAACTTAAGATTCCACAAATTTTTAGAATTCCAGTGTCTCGAAAAATTCATGTAGGCACTTGTGAACGGATTAAATGCTTGGCAATGGTTACCGCAAATCGGTATTCTATTTATGAAAGCCTCCTCCTTGAATACCAACTGGTATTTTGAGAACGTAGGTTGGGGATGTGACGGCGAAAGAACATGAACGCATGCGCTTAGTTAAGAACTTTGTTTTGTCACATAAGAAATGAATTAAATCGCTATCTTGGCTAAAAATGCTTTTTAAAATATTGTTTTGTGATAGTACTTTAATTAATGAAGCTTTATAAGGAATTTTCTAGAAATAAATACTTGAAGAGATTTAGAGTTCCGTTACGGAAGAATTTAAGCTTTCTTTTAGAAACTTTGTTTTACTTTACGTACAAATAAAAATAGGAATATTTAAATAATAAACAAATATAGAATAATAAAAAATAATAATGATAAAAATATAAAAAAACGAAAACGGATATATAGATACTGAACGTCGGTATCGTATATTGCTTATCCTAAAAAATATAAATTGTTATTTTAATTAAAATATATTCTATGCTTATACTGCTCATCGCTTTTAAATTAAGGAATGTAATTCTTAAAAATAAACATGAGTACCCAGAAGTTCTTAATAGAAAATAAAAGAAAGTTAGAGCAAGTCAATTACTTGTGTTAAAAAAGTTATGACATACATAACAAATAACACATTTATTTCACACGGACTGTTGAAGCAAAATGAAGTTCATTACAACTATAAAAAATGAGTTACCAGACAAAAAAAAAAAAAAATTAGCCAGTTTCTACTTTTTCTAAAACCAAGTTTTTTTTTGGCTTTAATATTTTTATTGTTTTTTAGAGAATATATATACTGCATTTACAGGAAACTTGTTAATTAGCTAAACTAGTGACAATTTTGATTACAAGAAAGTGGGGATAAGATTACAGTAATTTTTCTATGGCAATTATAAAAATCTGATTAATTGATAAACATACAAAATCTGCTCACATGCCAAAGAGAGCAAAAGAAAACAAAGGAAAATAAAACGTTACTTCTATTTTCGATTTCTCCAAGCAAATTTCCTTCATTAAGAATCCTAGTACATGTCTGGCGACAAATTAGAATCCTCTACCCATTTTATATACAAAACAACCGATTAATTTTGCACAGCCAAAATACCTGTTGCTAAATCGGTGGCGTTAAAACTTTCCCCCTTCTAGCAACCCCGCTTAAACTGCAGAGATTTGTCCGGAGCTTCATATCCACGCACGCTTCTCAAGTAATCATTTTACCCGTATTTACTAAGATCATTTGGCTAGTAAAGGAAACTTGAATAAATTGCTTGATTATGTTTCACTTTAATTAAGCCAAATCTAACACCGTAATTTACTATTCTAGTTGTCAGCTCGACTTTTAAGTCGCTTGGTACTCGTGTGGATGTCGAATTTATTATACAGGTTTCTAAGAAGAGACTGGAAAGATGAACACTCGATTTACAGTAATCCCTGTCCACAACTCCTCACTTTCGGTGAGTTTTTATAAATTTCTTTTGATGAAAACTTAATTCGGATGTGACAGTATAATTTGAAATTCTATAAAGCATGTAATTAAGGGATCCTAAAGTTAGATATTTAAGAACTTTTTTAAAGCACCGGTGTATGCATGTTATATTAAACAGTTCACATAAAAATACATTTTTTATAAAATGCAATACATTACAAATACTGTGCTTAACATTTGAGCGTTAAATGTGAAAAAACAATATAATTCAAAAGCTTATATATATATGTGTGTGTGTGTGTGTGTGTTAGTGCGTGTATTTATGTACTCGCACATCCGTGTACACAATGTCCAAAAACAGATCTACGTGTATATATATATATATATAGAGAGAGAGAGAGAGAGAGAAATTTAGTTTGAAGATCCTGTAGTATAAAAACCGATGTATATTTGATTTTCATGCTCCGAACCCGTATGAACTACAACCATTCAATTTGTTTAATGAAGCAGTTTTTCGAAAATGTTTCTTTTTAACCTATGTTTCTTTTACTGCACATGTACGTAGACGCATATATGTATATATAAACTTTTAATTCTGCATGCGTTACAGTAACTGTATGGTTTTTGATTTTATTTGCTATAACTTTTACAGCATATAGATTTTTTACCTTGAAAATGGCGGCTTTACCTAGCACATAGACATATAAAAAATTTAAATATACTCTTCCTTTAATGATAATATCTTTATCAGTACCACTTTGATTTTGATTTTCAGCTGATTGTATAAACATGTATTATATTTACCCCATGAAAATATTTTTCTGGTTTGTAAATGAATTGGTATAAATTTTATTCGTTTAAATTCATTTTTATGTTAAATCAGGAGCTGACTGTCACTTATTAAAAAATTTGCATAAGAAATTAAAAATTTTAAAATATAAATACTTTTAATTTTAAAAATTTTTAAATTAAAAAATTATTTAAATATATTTTTAAATTTTAAATATTAATTTTTTAAAATTGAAATACATTTTTTTTCCTTCGTTCTACTTTTACCCGAATACTAATAATTTGCTAACATGCTTTACAAGTATGGGCAAAAGAACCTCACAGCAGCGGCATTAAAAAGAAAGAAAATTAAATAAAATTATAGAGAAAAGATACATCATTTGAAATATAAGAGAAAATCAGCAAACTACTACAGCAAAATAATTAAGATATTTAATACGCTGCTAAGAGAGTTACGGGAAAGTGTTGGATCTCTTAATTAATGTAGATAAATTGCATTTCGTAAACTTCAAGTACGAGTTCCGTTTTGATTTCGATTCCATTCAATAACTCAAGTTATTGAATTTGATTCCATTCAATAACATCCATTCAAGTTGAATAAAAAGAGAATGCCGTTTTAAAATTGGAGAGTTTTCCACCTAAATCTGCAGAAATAAATAAGTAAAGTAGTAAATAATGAACATGAGAATTTAAATCTAAAATGCACGTGCCTGAAAACATGCATGCATTTACACGAGCATTGAGTAAAGTAAACTGCGCGAAATTAAAAAATGTCATTTGCGGAAAATATCAATGAAAATACGGAAGTAGAAAATAAATCTTGGGATGCGGCCGTAAAATAAAAGGCGCGAAATTTAAGTTTATTATTTATGAAATGTATGAATGAAAATAGTGAAGAAGGAAAACAAGCATTCACCGGATTGCTGTCGTCTAAAGATGATGTTGGTTACCACAGCAACCCTAAGAATGGGAGAGTAACTCCGTAATTGGTGCGCGCGCAAAAAGAGACTGTTTCGAACACAATGTTGGCAAACACTAAGGAAATGTTTGTAAACTTAGCCACATGACATTAGAGAGATTGTTGCACTTCTATATGTTTCTTTAGATGTACATATTATAAAATATATTTTAAAGTTAATATCATGAAAATTACGTTTCTTACTATAACTAATTTTATTGTTTTCCTTGACTATGTTTAATGCTCTGAAGTTTAAAAACTGAGGCATTTATTGCAGTTTTAATCTTCAGATATGTTCAAATGAAAGGCTATATTAGTAGGAAGTCAAAACGTAATGTAAATTCTTGACTCTACAAAAAGTGTTATGATGCCGAAACCCTGAACAATGAAATCAAAATTAAGGAAATTTAACTTGTATGTTTTTAAACTATAGTAGAGTTCCGATTATCCGGTATTAACGAAGCTGAATGGTGGTCGGATAAGCGGAAATGTCGAATAACATGAACTGTAATATTAAATGTTTTTAAAAAGGATTTACTCAGTATTTTACCTCTTTTTTTGCAACGTTGAAGGAAATGAATACATACCTAATTACTGCTCATTGGAAAAAAATGTGTAATTTTATGCCTACATTAATCATCAGTCATTAATCAGTGCCTAATCATTGGAAAATAAAGACAAATGCATTATAATAAAAGCTGTGCAACAGAAAAGTTGCATAAACTGTATGGATATTAAAAGTGATGGTAATATACACATTTGTTACCTTCAACAAGATAGTTTTAAAAAGACACATTTTATGAATTATTAGAATAATAATAGCTTCTAATAAGACATAAATAGAACGCCGGTTGAAACAGAATATTTGATAACAGGATTCTATTGTATTAATGTAAGTTTAAATATTTCACGGTGAAGGCATTAAGTAAAAGTTAATGAGACTCGTTCCTTTTTGAAAAAGGTCTTTTAGCTTTAAATAAGCATTTTCAGCAAATATAGCTGAAATATTTCTTAAACGCTTATTAGAGAAGTTCTCCTTATTAAAAAAAAACTGTAAATATAAGTAACATAAATAATTATAACCAACATCATCAGGGTTTTTTTTCAAGTGTAAACAAATATTTTCTTTATTAGCTTAAGTTTTAGAAAGATTTAATTCGAATATTTGATATTTAAAGATGAATTTCCTCTCTGAAATTTGAAATTTTTCTTAAGCAATATGATTTTGTGGTAAATTTGGACAAAATTCAGAGGGCATATTTTATTCTGTTTTAAACCCGAATACGGCAGCATCAAGGATTAGTTTTAATTGAATTTTCAAATATTAAAGACCTTGAGATGCAGCTTTGTCTCTTAATTCTAGGCCCCAGACCAACGAAAGAACCTAGAAAACGAAGGTGCCTAGTAAACTAAGGTTCTTTTGACTAGTAGTGTCAAACTGGAGGTCCGCGTGCCATATGTGATCCCCAAAGCAATTTTAGGCAGCACGGCAGCATATTTCAGTCATGTATTTATTGTAAATACAGTGTTACAAAGATTTCAAGATTTTAGTTATTTGATGTCCAAGCTCACATTATCTCCGTTACTATTAAAAAAGAAAGTGAGTAACGCACCAGAAATATACTTTATTTAAGATAGTTTTTTTATTTTGTTAATGCAAATTTTCAATATGCAATAAAAAAAAATCTGGCCCGTCAACTGTTTTTAGATTGTGTATTCGGCCCGATTGCAGTTTGAGTTTGAGACCACTTTACTGTTTGAGTTAACCGAAAGGAAACGGCTGGAAACGTAAATCAATGAAGGCAAAACTGAGTCTTTTTGTTTGGAATATATAATTATTTCCAAATATATAACCGTAAGTACATTTAAATTTAATAATTGCAATCGTATACGCAGAAATTTCAGAAACTTGTATTATACATAACAGTCCCTGGATTAACTTAGCTCTTATTTCTTCGATTTTTTTTACATTACAAGTATTTTATGGAAATTTAACAATATGTCTTTTTGATGGGAGATAATATCCATTTTTCAAACCATAACTTAAACCACTTGGTTTACAGTAGTAAATGCATATATTTGAAGCATAATTAAAAAAGAATACCAGTCTATCTTCTGTTACTTTTTAACTGTTGTATTTCTTCGAATTTTAATGTTGAAGTGCACATGCATCGCGGAATGCTACGCAGGCTAAATTTAAACACGTTTCAAATTTTCTAAGTCTCAAGAACAGAGGCACCCCAAAATGTAAAATGTTCTATTTTGGCTGGGGAGTGTCTCGTGCAGAATCGCGTGAATGTGCTGGGGAAGGAGAGGAAAGATTAGAACCTTGACAAATGCTTTCGGCGTTGAGGAAGACAGTGGGAATGGTTCCAAAGCATTCACCACGCGCTTAGAGAAATGTTTATTTAATTTTTGTGAATGGTACAGAATCTTAGTAAAAGACATGCAAATGTTTATTTTGTTCTACTGTTTATTTTATTACAGGTATAGTTTGTATTCAATAAACTATAAATCAACAGACTGAAAATACGTAACCCAAAATTTTCTAAAAAGGCACATTTAAGTACAATTATTTTTAATATTTTTTCGAATTTTTGTCTTTTGATCATGCTTTCTCTTGGCATTTCATTCATTATGCAGGACAGGCGATAATTAATTTTTTTTCTTTGTTTCAGACATTTAAAGTGTACCACGAAACTTACAGTCAGCACTGCATGCATTTTGCAAATAAAATATGAAAAAAAAAAAAAACTTGATATAAAATGCTCGCAATAAAAGTTTATTAATTAATTAGAACAGCGTTCTCAATGCAATTTTTAACTGACAGGGACCTCTGTAAATTGTGCAGAGCATAACGAAGCTCTTAAATATTTTTAGCATAATTTTAAGTTACAAAAATGTTTTGATCTTAATCCGTAGATTGCCTCTCACCACGACTTTAATCATCTTTATAAATAACAAGAATGCATGTAAGTATTTTCTAGCCTCGTTATTGTAATAATTTTATAAACTTTCTCAGAAATAATCATCTGCTTGTTTGTAACCGCACTGCATTAAATGAGAAAAATCTTAAGGTGTTTTACAGATGCTAGATTATCTTAGAAATCACCTAAAATACTGCGCCAGTAAAAATGCAATTCAAAACATTATTCAGTGTCCACACTAATATAATTCAGATAATTATATTAGTGTAAGAAATCAAAAGCTTTGAACTTTGTTTTAATTGAATTATATGCTTTAGGGAATGCTTTCATGGAGGACTTTCTGAAGGAAAAATT